AAGGCCGCAAAGCGGCTGAATGCTATTCTCAATTATATGAGGAAGGTGAAGTCGAGCATATCAATGGTTTCCCACCCATCCCACCCATAATAATAATATGGCTATCATTGATATGCAGGACTTCACATTGACTGTGTGGTTTGATAATAATATATGTTAAATTCGTTATCAAAAGGCCAACGTGGTCACACTGGGTGAGGGCTTATATGGGAAAGTGGAGCCCCACTCATATGTGGAGCGAGTTACTGTAAATTTTCTAATTGTTACTACGAACTAACAGAAATTTTAGAAAACTAGGTCAAACACCATTGACATGCTCGACTTCACCTTCCTCATATAATCCAGAATAGCATTCAGCCGCTTCGCGGCCTTAGCCATTCTGTAATTAATGATACTTCATAAGCACAAAATTTCTTTGAAAATTCTATAACTTTTAGTGGCTTTACAATAAAAATCTTATCTTCAAATACTAAAATCTCATGAATGATATGATATACAAATTTTTCATGATTGTTGCCAGACACACGAATGACATTTTCTGTTTGATATTTGAACTCCAAGTGTTATTACATTTTGAGAGCTACATTAAAATAATTTGTGAAGTTACAAAAAAAGTTCATTGACTTACCTAATTCCTTTAATCTCAAATTCCAAACTGCCAAACAGTAAATCAAGTTCTCGCTTGTAAACAAACAAGTTACATAAAGTACCTACATGAAAATAATGATTATATAAGTGAAAATAATTTGGCTACTTAAAATAATGAAAAAATGAAACCACCATTTGTACCTGACATAACTTGATCTCCATCATAAAGAAATGACGAGTAGAGCTGACCACGCTGAACCACAAGATGATAACAGCCACTGCTGGTGTCGTACATCTACAGAAAATGGTACATTCTTAAAACAGTTAGTAACAAATCCTTTTATTTGTGCATTTTTGCATTCAAATCGCATGCACCAATGGTGCCTCAATGGTCCAAACCTGCATCACAAAAAATCATTCATTACAAATTGTAACAAAGCTTACAGTTCCATTTGCTCAGGTAGATGGATTAGGTAATGCATTTTGGGTGTCACATTAATGTGAGAGTAGAGAAAAGTGAAACATTCTAGATATGCTTTAACAATCTAAGCTAGTCGAGTAGAATCATCAGGATACACTTTAGTAGTACAAACCATGTCACAAATGAGCCATAGCAGACAGTAGCAATCCCAATGCACATCATCATCATCAATATAACTGCCACTAAGAAATGGCAATAGACGTATCAACGTCATCATTTGAGATGCTGTATAAAGGAAGCATAAATAATTATAGCATGATCAATTACCTGATTGCTTTACATGATAAGTATCATCTTTTTTGATTTGAGATGGCTTTGTCTGAACTTCAGAATAACCATAACTGTGTGACCTAATGAGAAGATTTAGCTGGTCTAAAGTGAAAAACTTCTTTTCCTCAATTAAGTAGGGCAAAAGGACTTGTAATTGTGTAGCTGCAACCCCCTCAAAGACAGCATGCATCACATCTTATACCATGGTGCATGGGTGGCTACCATGGAAACCTTTGATGTTTAGCGGGAGTTATATGCCCATAACCACCCGGCAGACAGTGTGGAATTTGACAGTTTACATAAGAACAATACTGCAATGAAGAGAGTAGGATTGCATAGTTTACATAAGAACAATACTGCAATACTTCACCATGGCATACGTCAGATACATCCCTCTCTGGAGGTGGTTATGGGCATATAACTCCCGCTAAACATCAAAGGTTTCCATGGTAGCCACCCATGCACCATGGTATAAGATGTGATGCATGCTGTCTTTGAGGGGGTTG